AAGGATTACTTTAAAAGTTAAATAAAACGAAGTATAAAAAGTATGTTTTTAATTTTAATATTTTTCGTTTTTCTTTTCTAATATTTTTTTTACTGTGTCGTATTTTATTTTTATTTTAAGTATAATGGTCACAATAAATTTATTTATCAAAATATAAATCATTTCTATTAGTATCTTATTTAAACATATATATCTTTAACTAAACATAAATAACATAAATTGTAAGTAAACTTAACTAAGTCATCACTAAATATATTAATAGCTACGCGTAAAAGTTAAAAAAAAGTTCAGAGTTTGCATTTAAGGTTTTTAAGCTGCACATAAAAAACAAATATTGTTTTTTTCCAAGCTGCATTTTTATAAAATACATAAACTTAATGCAAAAACATATTATTAATAATATAAAGAAAATTTGTAATATTGTTGTTGCACGTACACATGTATGAAGTTAATAGTTTAAATAAATTATTAAAATTGTTGCGTTAAATAACTTATACAAGTTTTGTTTTACATTCATTTAAATATTAATTGTTTTTTGTATTTTTACATGTTTAATTGAGAAGTTGCCCTCCTCCTCTCTTAATATTATTTACTATATTTATTATATATGGTTTTTCTTATGTTTGCTTTTTTTTATTAATAAGGATTATCTCACGCAGTTGCATTTTTAAGATGTAACAATTTAACTTTTAATTCTGCAAATGTTGGTCTCTTAATAGGATTTAAGTCCCAAGACTGACGCATCATTTCGTATATTTCAGGTGGGCAACCTTCTGGTGCTTCCATTTTATAACCAACTTCAACATGCTTTACAACTTCAGAGAGAGGCTAAAAATAAATAATAATTTTTGATTAATTATGAAATAATATATATATTATAAATATTATAATATTCTAAATTTTATGTAAGATATAACGTATATATATATTAATATATTTTTATCATTAATAATTAATGATAGTATTACTAATTATTAATAAATAAATAACGTGCTACTTTCATTATTCCAAAACTAGAACTTAGATTTCGAACTTTCATTGAATAAATAAAACACTCTTTTCAATAGAGTGAATGAAATAATTTCATGACATTATAATTATGTCGAACAATTTAATATATCAAAAAATCATTTATTTTCTTCTTTATATAATTAACTTGGACGAAAAACGAAATATTTGAAAACATTTATTTTCCAACATACTATTAAAATATAGCTTTTAAATATAAAACAAAATGTTGTAAGAAAATATAACAAATATTTTATTTATAATTAAATAACCATAAAGTTGTTTTGAATATTGATAAATATTTATCATCAGTGGTCTTTGGAAATATTTGCAAGTTTAATATTCCGTATATAATCTTAAATCTTACATAAGATTTATAATTTTACCTTGCCCTATTATACGGAAGCAAAACATAGCATTTAACATTGGTATCAATTTAAAAACTACAATGTTGTGTTAACACATGAGTCCGGCTGTGGAGTGCTACTGCACAGAAACCAATTGTACATTAAATACGAATTCGAAAATTTAGATGGTTGGGCCATACACTGCGGAAAAATACAGAAGATGTAACATATGCCATACTATGTTGGAACCCTTAAGACAGAAGGTCGCAAGGCAGACCACGCAATACTTAGCGCAGAACCATAAAACGGAAAACAAATAAGTCAATAATTGAACTAAGATGCATAGCAAGAGATGGTAAGATTGGAATAACTTTTTTTAGAAATTTATGTGAATAGGCTAAGTTTGTACAATCTGATATTGTAATAAACATGCTGATAATAATAATATAATCTTAGAACTACAATTGTTATATTTAGAAACTTGAACCTGTGAAATTTGAAACATTTACTCGAGCGTTAATGACACAACACAAATGCTACATAAATTTACGTTGTTAAAATTATAAAAAAAGTAATAAAATATTATTATTTTTTTTTTTTAACCACTACAAACTAGTTACTGTGCTAATATTATATTATTTTATTTAAAAATAAAATTACAAAAAGCCGTAGATACTTACGATTCTAGGATAAGGAACTCTACCAAATGAATAAATCTCCCAAAGCAATATTCCAAAACTCCACATATCTGATTTATTTGAGAAACGCTATAAATATACAATAAAAAATATATTCATAAATAATTAAATGATCTCGAGTTTTAACTACTTACGCCATTTTTTAGAGCTTCGGGTGCTGTCCACTTAATTGGTAATTTACCAACATCTAAATTATAATAACATTCTTCGCGTGCTAAGCCAAAATCTGACACCTTAGCAACACAATCCTCTGAAATTAAAACATTACGGGCTGCCAAATCACGATGTACAACTTTTTTGGCTTCTAAATATTCCATGCCTGAAGCCGTGTCACTGAAAAAAGTTTCGAATATATTATTATATACCCGCAAATAACCAGTTTTATTTGAATACATACTAGGCAAAATTGATTTGATCTTTTTTCGTTATATGTTGCCGTCCCCGCGACCTTAAGTAATCAACCAGTGATCCTTTGCTCATGTACTCTGTTACTAAATAAAGATGTTTACTTGTAAATACGAGACCAATAAACTTTACAAGATTTTCATGTTCCAAAGTGCTATAAATAAATTATAATAATAATTTTTTTGAAATTAATTTTAAATCTTAAGGAATTTGGAAAACTTACGTCATAACAGAAGCTTCCGCTAAAAACTTTTGTACAGCTCCTTCATCCTTAAGCATTTTTACAGCAACTTTCTCATTGCGCAATATTCCTAGCAATACATCACCAAACTCGCCTTTTCCAATGCTTTCACGCAACTGTAAATCAGCTTCGGGTATAACCCAACCTTTGTCCACAAAATCTTTAGAATTTATACAGAACTCTTGTTTGCCTTTCTTTGGTAAACACTTAATGAGTTGTGTGCACAAACCATCAGCATCAGCTTCGTAATGCTAAAAGAATTGAAAATATTCACGTTCGATTATACATTAATTACAATAAAAATTATTAATAATAAATAATTATTATTCTATTAATGGGACAAGACACAACGACGCAAAATAAAAATCTTGAAATCGAAATGATGATCTCTTATACAAAGATATAGAGAAATTATCTGGTTCACAACACAGCGAGACTCTGAATATCAAAAGAACACGTCGGTGAGGATCTTGTCTCCGATGAAGTAATCAAGTTGAGGATTAATGGCATTTAATGAGGGAGACTGGAGAAGGCACACATGCAATAAAGCCATCTGGAGAGGAATGCTCCTGTAGACCTAACTTCGGTTAGATATATACTTTTTTCTCAAAAACTTAAATAACTTAACAGCATCGCTTTCTTGTAATCGCAATGCATAGCACTTAAGAAGAGTAATCACTCAACTATATAAATTTGATTTATTATTTAATTCTTGTACAATTATCTCCAGAACTATATTTATAATATTTTTTGAAGAATCTTAAGACTATTCCAGAGGTTATTTTATTACTTATGTTTAATTCTCTTTTTGTAGCCCAAGGTCGAAGAGATCTACTAAGTGCAATCTCTTAAATCTTTTAGTTTAAGCTAAGTTGGTCATACGTTAGTTAATACAAACTTAGATTGTTTATTTTTTTTTCTATATCAGAGTTTTGCATTCTAAGATTATAGCACATTTTATCTCTGCGTGACATACTGGCTAGACACTTCACTGTTGTTTAAGTTTTTAGGGGTGTATACGCGGTCATAATAAATCATGTTTTAATTTTTTTTTCTACTATTTCTACTATTTTTACTTATATTTATGTCTGATACCTAAGGAGACAAAATTGAGGTTTTCTAGATCATTTAATATTATTAGTTTAATACTTACAGCCACTAGTTGTCCTAAATTTTCAAAGTATTCCTCATCGTCAATGGTTAATTTATTTTCTAAGTATTTTACACGATAATGTTCCACTTTGCCTTGAAAGCAGACGCATAATGTGTAATCACCAGGGAAGTTTGTTGATTCTCGAACCAAGAAGAGACCATCGTCACGGGGTTGCAATAGGTGTTCTGCTTCGTCGCGTGTAATACTACCATGAAACCAACTACAAAAAATAAATCTTTTATTTATTTATTGTAATTTTTTATTATGTTATATAGATCTTCTTATGTTATATGATAAAAAATTTTCCGATACGTCGATTTGACAATGGATTAATGTAGACAATTGTAAGTACTTTACATTGATCAAATTTTCCGATACACCGATTTGACAAGGGATTTAGGTAGTCAATTGTAAGTATTTTACATTGGTTATATACTAATAAAAACAACAAAAACTTCACACGCCATCTATCGCGAATTAGTATATGCAATTTTTATATTGACTATGTAAATGATGACCTGGGCAACTACCTGTTTTTGATCGTTTTCATGAAAAAATTTTAAAAAGTTTAAAGTCCTAAATCTCGAAAACTAAGTTACATACACACAAGGCATCGTGAAAAAAGTTGTTAAATATATATATCTTTACTGTAAATCCATTGTCAAATGTGCATTACCGAGAAATCAGAATCGTGTAAAGTATATTTTAATAATCCGTACTTATGAAATATTGGTGGATAGTTTATATTAAACTTCATGTATAAAAAAATTAATATAAATTTATTAATTAAAATATTTTGTATATTACAACTATCAAGCACAAATGCAAATAATCAAGTGCAAACAATGAAAGAAATTGCAAATAATATTTTTAATTATGTGTGCTGATAAAACTACGATAAGATAAGCCATTTAGCGAAAGTGTTGATTACATATAGAATTTTTTACAAATCCAAGATAAACATTTAGCGTTTGGCCTAGAAAATTTATTGTCACTTAAGCGCATTTTTATAGTTTAATTAGTTTACAGCTTTACAGCTTCCAAACATTTGCAATAAGAAAATATTTTAATTAAAATCAACAATACGAAATAGCACTTAAACTAATTAACTTACGGCATTGCATTCAATTTGACTTCGCATTTCCTTTGTTGCTGTTGCTGCTGCTGCTGTTGTATTGTTGGCACCATTGCACTAGTTGGCGACAGCGATGAGCTGCCAGTATTCGCCCACGATGTGCCATTACCTCCATTTATGTCAAAACTGTGCAAAGAAGTTGACATACCCGTTGTAGCAGAATTTGTCTGTTGTTGCTGTTGTTGTGAAGAAGTCAATGATGTTGGCTGCAATTGATGCTGTTGTACTGTTGTATGTAGCAACATATTGCTGCCATGCAGCGCACTATTGGCGACACTTAGATTTTTTGGTGGTAGGCCTCTTTCATGCAATGAGAGCGCGTTATGCGTATTTTGACCAACTAAATGTGCCGCATTCATTGATGACGACATTAAATTGTTATTAGAATTATTGGAAGAGAGCAACTGCAAATGTTGCTGTTGTTGTTGTTGTGTTATTGCTGCAACAGCTGCCGCTGTACAATTTGTTGCGACTGTTGCAGTCGTTTGTTGTTGCGATGGTGGCGCAAATGTGGATAATATGTGGCCGTGGGAGTGTGCATGGGGATGTTGCTGCAATTGTTGCGTTTGTGTTGTGGTAGTTGCTAATTGTTGTTGATGCTGATGTTGATTAGGTGATTTAGGTGAATGATTGGAAGCGGATGTTATTAAATTATGACTATTAAGTGCATGCGAGGATAAATGAATCGCATTGTGGTGCTGACTCTGCGAAAAATAAATTACAATTTAATGTACTATATTATCAATTAAATGAATATATTTTACTTACCACATTATTATGATGATGCGG